GGGGGCCGGTTACCGGCGGCTCCGGGATAATCCCGCGGCGCCTCGTGCGCGTCCCTGGGAACCCGAGCGGAGGCCGGGGCGGGGGGGGCGGAGGGGGTGGGGGAATGTCTGTGCTGGAGCACACCGGAGTACCGGAAAGCGTTACATTTTAACAGCTCGCCAAGAAATAGTGTTAAGAGAATCATCCTCCTCCTCTATCAACGCCCGAGTTAATTAGCGCACCCCTTTTGCCCCCATTACAGTCAAGGATTGATCAGGATCAGCACACAGATCTCCGAGTCCTACTAAGATGACCATTACATAAGCCATTTTTTAATTAAAAAAAAAAAAAAAAGAAAAGATTTTGTAGAAAACTATTGTGGTTCTTCATCTGGCCAAAAAAAACCCCAACCAACCCTGAAGGAAGGCACTGTGGCAAAGGGTCATTATTTGCCAAATAACCGTTATGAAAAGGAGAGACCAAAGAAAGAGTCAGAGCAAAAACAAAGAGCTGCTTAGGGAATAATTTCCTCATGAATGCACGAAATTTAGTGTAATGAGCAATGATGGAAAATACAGAACATTAGCAACTTCCCATCACATGTGAGAGCTGAAAACACAAATGTCTCTACAGACAAAGAACGTTTTGTCATAGTCTGCTTTCGAATATGAATGGCCTCAAAATGATTGCATAAGGGACTGCACAAGATACAGCATTGATGGCATAACTGACCTACAAATAGGATAACAGGAATCTGCTCTCACACATCTGAGTAACGCCAACACACACAGAACCTTCACCAAAATAACTCTGTTTCTAACCACACCAGTTTCGTATCGGCGACCAGCATGCCGACAGCTCTGGTACTTGAATAATGTGTTCGTACTCAGCGGAGTGAAAGAGGCAATTGGAAGAGAAAGACTTCAGAGACCGGGTGCGTACAATGTACGAAGAGTGTGGGAGCGCTGAAGGACTGCAGCGTGGGTAAGTCGCACCTAAATAAAATGTGTCTTAGTGTTTTAAACTGCTTAATGTGCCCAGGAGCAGTGTGAAGATTTACAGCGCATTAGAAATAAATGGTGCGAAGAACAACACAATATGAACATCAAGATTAGTAGAGCAGGTGAGCTTGTGAGTGTCTTAAGTGGCAGCTCCTTGTTAAGTAGCACGTTCAGCTTTAGAGCAACTTCAGGAAAGGTATTTTAAGCTAGCAAAAAGTAGCTCAATTTCTTTCCATACCATAAAGAAGAATGAGAAATTAATTAACTTACCTTCCCACAAGGAGAAATGACTTGTACGGAAGGGCTATTTTTGGAACAAAAGCCGGCTGCAGGTCAAATTAAAATAGAATGATTTATTGGTAGCATTCTTTTAAGTTATTAGTAATATTGTATAGTGCTGTGTAATTAAGATTCCAAGACCTACCCAGGAAAGCAATTAGTCAATTGTTTTCAAATTAAGGCTGTGTATTTTTCTAGCTGAAAATTAAGGTTTTTTATTTTTATAAAATAAATATATAAAATACAGTTTTTTTCTAGTTTTCAAATTAAGGCTGTATATTTTTGCTACTGCTGAAATAACTCATGACAAATTTGTGTTCTACAAATGGTTAAAATAGGTGACCAAATACTATCAATCTATTATGGCCTAAAAAATAATGCACGAGAATCAAACCAACTGTTCCTTGAGTAGAGCAGCTTAAGCGAAGCTACATTTAGAACAATGCCAGTTCAGATCCAGAGATGCCACTGAGGCTGAGGTTCAGGGAGAAGCTGCTGTAATGAAAAGAACAGCGATTTGTCAGGGCTCAAAACACAAGTGCCTCTGGAAAAGTTCAGCGGAATAAATAAGGGTCTTGGGAAGAACACAATGGGAACCCTCTTCTCTGAAGCTTAAAGGTGCAGATTGTAATGGAAGAGTATCAAATGATGAAAGGGATAAGAAAAACACCAAAAAAGTGTGAGCTGACAGTATAAACTGGCATTGTGGGAGGTAAGGCCCTAGAACTGGAAATTGTTCTGAGAACATTTCCCTTCTTTACCTGTTTCCCTTTGTGATTGGAAGTTGTTTAGTTAGAAGAGATCTTCCATGGGGAAGCAGCTGTATTTTGTTGTATGTAGCCCTTGAAATTCACTTTACCATTTTCGTATTAGCCCATATAAAGGTAGAGAGATAAAATAAAAAGCTCTTGTAAGGGAGGGGATGAGGGAGGTAAGAGAGAAAAGTAAGATGAGTTCTGCCTGGTTATTTTTCAAATGCCTGGTGGGAGCAGGCAGCTCTTTTTCCAAGGCTGAGAATAGGGATCTTAAAGACACTGTCAATCAAGAGGAAAGGAAGCTGTGGGCTGATTTCAGATTGAGATGGATCGGGAGAGAGCGACCACACGCTGGTCTAAGCACCCGGGATAGGCGGGGATAACTGTGGGAAAACACTGAAGTTGACAATCAGAAAATATGATTACTTACCAGTAACTGGAGCCCGTAAGACACGTTGTCCACAGGCGCTGCTGTGCTCCACCCATGTGCTGTGCCGTTCCACGCATCTTTTCCACCAAAGCAATACTTGCAAGATGCACTTGATGCACGAGTTCGTCACCAGCATGTGTCATACAGCTCAACCAATACCTCAGAACTGCAGAAGCTCAGAGCGCTATTAAAGGGCTATCAGAAGTGAGGAGAGGGAAGTCCTATGTACATAGGAGCAATAATTTTAAAGAACATCCATGCCTGCTAACTTCTTTCAACCTATTTGTATTGCAGGTAAATTCAAGTTACTGCTTGACATCGAACTCCTGCTCCAGTTCTGATTCCACATCCTTGGGTTCTGCGAGAGGCCGTCTCAGAATCTTTCAGGGGAACAACAAATGGATCACAGCCTTTGTCATATTAAGTACTTAATGTTTCCCATATTTATGTTGCCTGGTTCAGTTGCCTCAGAGTACAGCTTAAAAACAGGGAAAATACTTAAGTGTTGTAAAATTAACCCTTGCAGACTGTTAACATTTTTAATCGATCTCAAGAAAAGGAAAGAGTTGTTGGGTTGACAAGAAGTTAAATCTTCAGAGCGGAAACGTTATTTCTTCCTCTTCATCTGAGACTGAGAGAAAAATACAAGCGTGTCCCGTGTAACATTATTGTGAAGGCCCCGTGAAACTGCTGCATGGCAGTGCTGAGTGCCCTCGCATGGTGGAGCACGCACTGGGCTTCAGTACTGTGATCGCAACCCAAATTCACTTGGGCAGCCCAACAGCCATATCATCCTTAATGTCTGCTCCCACTTGTCTGTAGTTCCCTGGGACATTGACTAGAAGACAGCCAGAGCTTAAAGCCAATATTCAAAACTGGTGCCCACCCACTATCTCACGCAGCTCCACTAGTAACGGCAAGACGGCATTCAGTAAAACAATTGTCACGACTGCAGCAAACTGAACAACAGTTCATGACAGTTCAACAGACATGCAACCAAAGTTTTTGTTTTCCCTCTACTCAAAACTTTCTGATTTATAAAGCCACCTTTGATCTGCTTACATTCCAGGTAACATATTGGCTGCACCTTAAAATTTGTAGGTAGAAAATATTGTGATAAAAACTACTGGTTGTATATGTATTGGTTGTACAACCAATTTTATAATCACTTTGGCTGGCTACTTTTGCTATAGGCTTCATATGATGTATGATGGAACTAGCGGTGGGTACCAGAGGGCGAGTGCTTATACTGACCCTTCACACAAACCCAATTAAGGAGAACCCCAACACATGGCCTTGGGCGTGCCCAAACCATAGACGTATGTGTGACAGGCCCCCGATCAGCTGTCACTGCTCAGGAAAGACAGTACCATCATCGCTACTGGAAATCTCAATGCTTAGCATTAGTAAGAAACACAGCAACATGAACGTTTCAGAAATGAACACCAGTATCTCAGCACAGAAATGCATGAACGAACTTTAAAGACCTGCATGCAGCTTGAATCATCTTCCCTCAAAAATGGGGTAGCTGAACAAAAAGGAGGCACCAGAAAGTCACCAAGAACAATCAGAGGCACCGAGCAGGTTCAGTGCAAAGATTCCACAGTCCGGAACTGCTCATCCTGGAAGACTGATGCATTGGGGGAGTGAAATGGCACATAAAAGAACTATGAAGCTATTGAAGTGGTCAAAGGGGTGAACAGAGGACAAACACTTCTCAGGGAAAAAGGCTCTGGAGCCCAGTTAAATTACTAAGCTAACAAAGGTACATACTTTCGAACAAAGCAGAATTGAATCATGCAACTCTGTCAAAGGATGTAGTAGAAGCTGTCAATACAGTTGTTTCTGGCATCAACATGAC